AAAAAAAGTTTGATTTGAGGATAGGTTGGGATTTGAACTCACAACTTCATGGTCAGCAGACAGCATTCATAACCACAAGGCCAAAAAGGAAGGGATAAATCGTGGATTTTGATAAAAAATCGATACTGGCTTCCTGGGCAAATTGTAAACCATGGGAAAAGGCCGGAAACCTGGCCGAAATTCTAACTCCTTAACGGCTGATCCAATTGTTCCGAAACCTTCACAGAACAATTTGCCGTGTCCTAACAAGCCATTCTATGTACTTTGTTGTCCAAATTTCCCTTATCTTCATACTTTTTAAGACCCAAACCTGATTGTAAATCTTTTTGAAACAGACTATAGTAGTAGTAGTAGATTTTATTATTTTACTAGGGGAGTCCCAACAGGCGGTGCCTTTTTACTGGGAACCCTAGGTGAATTTTTACCATGTTTACATACAGAGTAAGAGACGGGGCCTGACGGCAGTCAGTGGAAAGAATATTCCATCTGTCTGCCGCCAGGAAATCTACATGTACATCGTTCTCGGCATCGTTCTCATTGCACTCGGTTGCACAGCACACTATACCGTACTCGGCAAGTCGAAGACAGCAAACTCAAGTAACATCTATGACCATGCACTATGTAGCGCATGTAGCACTAGATTAACTTCATAGCACCATTTTATCAGAGCTGGTAAGATTTTGCTTGCGTGTGTTACCGAACGTGCACGTGTGTGTATTGGTGTGTGTGTGTGTGTGTGTGTGTGTGTGTGTGTGCATGTGTGTATTTGTGTGTGTGTGTGTGTGTGTGCATGTGTGGATTTGTGTGTGTGTGTATGTTTGTGTGTGTGTGTGTGTGTGTATGTTTGTGTGTGTGTGTGTGTGTGTGTGTGTGTGTGTGTGTGTGTGTGTGTGTGTGTGTGTGTGTGTGTGTGTGTGTGTGTGTGTGCGTGCGTGCGTGCGTACGTGCGTGCGTGTGTGTACTTACTTTCATGCCTGCAAGCATCCACGTTAAAATCTTGCTAAGTAAAGTAGGGTTCTCACGTTTGCGTAACAACCGGCAATACAATTGATTGATAAGTTGGTAGCTGTCAGAAATGTTCGATTCATCCAGTTCCTCCATGAAACGCATGCTACATAAATATCATGTGAAGGAAAGATTTACTGCTGTATGGGAACTGAGCTAGTTTGCGATGTTGGTATATCCTGGGTGTGGACGTCTAGGCGTAAACCATGCAATTGTCGCCAGTAGGACACTCACAAACATGTCTCACTGTAAGAAGGTTTTCGGCGACTGCTGGAGGAGTTGGTGCTGCGGGTCTTTCTGCGTGCACCTGTCAGCAGTGACGACGACGGCTCCATCCCATCGTCCGTTGTCGAGCTGGCGCTGACGATGGGAGAGAGTGTCTTGCGCGATGCAAACTCGGTGATGACCAGTGGCGTGGGGTGGGACTCGGGGGAGCATTGTCTTTGCTTCGGTGTACTCTGCTCTAATGCAGTACTGCCGAACGGAGGAAGATGGTTATGGCTAGTACTAACGACAGCCGTATAACCTGGACTAGAGATTCCATTCGCCGTAACCGGGAATTCACGTAGAGTCTTGACCGGTGATGTCTCGCTTGTTGCGATTCCATCGCCGGTGGCAGAATCACAGCGAGACTTGCGTGACTGAGGTTGGTGTTGTTGCAGCTGTCGCGTTGAGATTGCAGCGTCCGGTATCGTGAGGAAGTCGCTGCTAAACTTGGGCTGTGTCTGCGGCTGGAACCCTGCTGCTGTACGCCGGTGAGACAGAGGCGTGACAGCAGGTGTGACGGCAGGCGACTCGAAGACGTTCTCCGAGTCGCTTGCCATGCTCTCGGAGTCGAAGACACTGCCCTGTGCGGAGCTGGGGCGTGGTGCGACCATGACGCGTTGCGAGGGCGGGATGTGCGGCAGATTTGCACGCTCCACCTCGCCAATGCCGCTCACACTGGCAAACGAAGCAAGGGTCGTCAGCAACGTCTTCCGCCGACTCAGGCTATTCTGGAAGGTGGATAGGTGATCACGGAGCTGGGTGAACGTCGGACGATCCGCAGGTGACTTAGCCCATGCGTGTTTCATCAGTTTGTACCTAAACAGAACACAAACAGAACACGAACAGCGCACGGAGCATCGCACTCGGTAACTTGCACCTGAACTAACGCATAGGAGTATTTAACCAGACGACTGGCTGTTTCGATCTTGCTAGATCTCACCAGAGGAGCTCAAGGCATTACAATCAGTGTGCTCTAACTGCGATTAAAAAGCGAGCGTCGCACGGAGTACACACATAATATTGTATTGGCAACTAACAAGGCAGGTCGAAGCAGAGTGCTCGATGCACAACTGACCAGAGCACTGTAGACATACAAGCGAGGTGAAAGGCTGTCACCCAGCCAGTCGAGTCCTTCAAGCAATGAAATCCACTCAAGTCACTCAAGTAATGAAATCCAGTCGAGTCACTCAAGTAATGAAATCCACTCAAGTCACTCAAGCAATGAAATCCAGTCGAGTCACTCAAGTAATGAAATCCACTCAAGTCACTGAAGTAATGAAATCCAGGCGAGTCACTCAAGTAATGAAATCCAGTCGAGTCACTCAAGTACGCGCCGGGCGCCGTGCAGTGCGAGACTCGTGAACACCGGGCTGTGAAATGGTGCAGGGCGCAAACTTGAGTGCTGCGACTGGATTTCATTGAGCAGGAGGGTGCATGTACTCACATGGCATTCGGGCAGAACTGTGGCTGGTCCAGTGTGCCACCCATCAGGACAAACGTGTAGATCTCATGTCCCTGGGTCTTCTCACCGTATGGCAACTGGCCATAGGTGTAGATCTCCCACAGAAGTATTCCAAACGACCTGGTGCACAAACAAACATGCACACACGCATACACGCACACACACGCACACACACACACACACACACACGCACACAAACACAGACATGACGGATGATGCAATGAAGGCTGTTGCTAACTCTCTGTGTGTCCCTGATCACTTCCACATCACCCACCATGGACATAGCAAAGCAGTCGGTGCAATGACACTCTAAATTAGTATACCATAGCCAGGGACAGTAGGATACATGCACACGCTATAGCAAGGATCATGCTATGCACGATTACCCTGAAAGCGCTCAATATCCTATTTCAGAGCAGACTCAAAATAATGTTTTGCGAAATGAGGAGCTGGGTTCGCTGCAGCTCCAACGAACAAACCAATGAACTCCAAGCTGGGGAAAATATACAATAATTTTCACAGCACCACAGCAGCAGAATGTCTGCTGATTGTTTGTACTCACCAGACGTCAGATTTGGTAGTGAAGATCTTCTTCTGCAGTGACTCTGGTGCCAACCATCTCAGCGGCAACAGCGCTTCCCTATCCGGTAAGAGGCGGTAGTAGTGGCGTCTACGCGGCGATGACATACACACCAAGACGAGAGACAGCAGTAATTTGAGTGAGCGACACAACATTCCGGTGGAAATGCCATTGCGATAACATCTGTCATCATTTTGTTCTACGCAAATCGGGTGCTTTGCGGACCTGAAAGCTGTACACCGCCTATTTTGTCCCTGAAGGTTGGTACGGATTTTGTACTAGCACACCCTTCATTGTTCACCCGGTCTTTAATTTCTGTTTCCTTGCTCCTGAAGCACATCGAAGATTTAGTGGTAACTGTACAGAAGGATGTGCAAAGATAATGATACACAGCATCGGCCAATCGAAACATGGGCTAACTTAACACATTACTACGTTCACCGGTTTGAGGGAAAGATACAAACGGAAAAAGTCTGAAGGGAAAAGTGACTGTTACCCACCAGGATTCGAACCAGGGACTTTCCCTTGAGGCCAGCGATGCTCTAGCCACTGAGCTACATTCCAGCAAAGACCATTCAAAATTTTCGTCAGACTTCGTAACTCACGCTCCTACTACGCTGTTCATGAAAGGCTAGGATGCAGATAAGCAGGAATAGCTGGAAATCGGTTTCCAGGATCGGTCTGCCTTGCTAGTTCACCAAGTCAGTTTTGCAGCGCAATCCAGGATTGGCTAGGGGATCATAGGTCTATGGCGACTACCCTGCAAAATGAAGGCAAATTCATACTTCATTGACTCGGTCAATATTCCAAGTAGCCCTAAAAGTGATGCATACGCATGTATCTTGCTGGAAAGGGGATGTAGGCTGAGAGACAAGATGTTACCCAACACCTAGCAGAAACCCCTACGCAGCCTCGCATAACCGCTCACACAGAAGGTTTCGCAGAACCTTGCAGCTTTGCCCAATGGCACCCGTACAGAAGCAAGTCAGCCTGTTTAGTGCCAAAACTCACTGGTCAATGTCCCTTGCCAGTCCAAAGTCTGTGCAAACGGAGATTGTGTAGAAACACACACGTACGTGTACGTACGCATGAACGCACACACACATACACACACATGTACGTACGCATGAAAGCGTGCACACACACACACACACACACGCGCACACACACACACACACATACACATACACACACACATACAGACACACACACACACACACACACACTTGCGTTCAACCCATTGGGGCTCATAATACAAAGCTGACCGCACCAGTGCAGAGTGGGTACAACACAGCCAATTTCAGTGCTTTTCTTTGGCTGAATCAGTATTTGCAGGCAACTTGCCTACACTCCAGTATGCAGTGCATTTCAAACAAAATTCAGGATTTTTCTAATGTTCCGCGTTTTTTGCTAAAATGGACCCGAGAATCGACTTAGCACATTCAATATCTTTTCGATCTCTGGAGCACGGAATTTTCAGGCTCAAGAATAACCCGGAAAGACAAACAAACATGTTCAGTCCCTTGAAGTTCGTCCTAACGAGGTTTGAGTGTAACGGGAGTTTTCTTATCTACATTTTATACCCAGTGAATACACAGTGATTTATCCAATAGTCATGAATGTTAGTTCTTCTAAAGCAAAATTCAACTTTGCCAGTGCTCTTCTTTTAACGAGGTTTCTACGGTATTGAGCAGGAATGATGACGAGGTTCCACCTCGAGCTAACACCTGAAGAAAATATTTAGGTCGACAAGAGTGCCGATGGTGAGTTGACTTCCGATTGTGACCGCCCCTCTGCTGCTGACAGACGTGCCTTTAGACGGGGCTCGTGCGCTGGCTGCCTGAGCTAGTGAGCCTCTTGAACTGCTGTCCAACAGAGAAACTAACAACACCTGTGTGGTATTGGCCCGGTGACAAAGCCCAGGTGAAGAAGAGAGCAGCGGGATGATTCGTACAACATTGCTGCATCAGTGAATCCTGCAGCTCCTCCAGCTCTGTCAGGAACAGAACTTCAAATCGGATGTGCAGCTCGTAGCGGAGCTAGAGTACAGTGCAGATGTGGCATGTAAAGCGAAGTAATGCGACAGATTGTGCAGCCACTGCTGGAACCACTCAGCCAACTGCATAACGGGGAGGTCACAGGAAAGAGTATCGTGGAGGCAGTGTAGCGAACCAGCACAACTAAGCTGATGACAATTTGACAGGGATAACTACTGACATACCTCAATATATCAAGGTACTCAAATCCAGCACAGCTGCAGGAACCAACACTGTGATTGAAGCAGGAAGCATCCTGACACCATCATTATCCTTTGGCTTACTGTGGAATATTACCTGTCCAATCCCGGTTACCGATGCAAACCGGTATGCTACGCATCGAGGAGTCCAAAACCATGTGCCAGTTGATGAAGCCAACTCACAAGATGTGTACGTTCATCGGTCTCATCATCAGTGTGGGAATTGCTAGATTGTCGGCCATCAGGGACCACAGGCCAAGAAAACAGGATCATCTGCACAATGATTTCATTGGTCAAACCATGCAACGTCATCATTGCTTCAGAATTTTGTGAGTTCCACAAGGAGAAGCTTGTCGTTAGGAGTGACAAGTGATTACCGCTGTTCTTCCTTGTCAGAGTCAACAATACACCTTGTTCTGCAGCTTTCGGATTAGTGTTGGAGTAGAAATTGCTGAGAAGACGCACATATGAGTTTGGCCGTGTTTCAGCATGATGGTGTGGAAATGTACAAATTTGTTTATTTCAAGAAAACCCAAGAACGAAGATGAGGGACACGTCCTCAGTGCTAGAAGAGGTGTTCTACTATCTGCCGGTGTATAATTCTAGCTAGTTGGGGACGTAGCTCATAGTTTTATCAGGGCTTGTAAATCGGCTATTTTCAAGACAATTATTTGTTGCGTCAGGGGTTTATGGCCCCCGTCTTCTGGGATGCTGGAGTGGCTAAGCGGCACTGTCCCAGAAACTCTTCTAAGGTGAGGGAACGTTGGCTTGATGGAGTTTTGTTCGTAGCTTGTTCGTGTACGCTGTGGCATGACCCGTTTGTAGACCCATAAATCGTGTGATTTTTTCGATCATTGTTTGAAATTGCAAATTGTTTAGGGCCGATTCCCACTACAGTACCGTGAGTGCCGTGCCGACGATTTGGGTAGATCACGTGTACCCCACGGTACGAGCTTGAAGCTGAGAGTGATTTACACCTGCGCACAGTCATTCCGTGCATTCCGTCGGCAGGCCGGATCACCATTTTTTTTTTATCAATTTCTGACTTTGGTCCTGAGGGAAAATAGCGGGGGATGGGGAGAGACTGGAGAAAGCTCAAGAATCAACCAATCGAAAAGCCAAAAGCCAAGAAAAAACTTCGTACCACAAATACAAAAGAAAGAAAAAACTTCCTTTCAGGGAGTAGTAAAATACCTACTACTCACTGCATTCGACCTCGCGGAATACCACGGCATGCCATTTCCACCCCCCAGAGGCCCTCGGCACCGGAATGTCCACGGTGCGGTACGGCAGGAGCCACGGAATGAACTCGCGCCAAAACTGCCCCTCACGTGAGCAAATCACCATGGTACTCACGGCACGGCACTCACGGTACCGTAGTGGGAATCGGCCCTTAGGGGTATGCCAGTTTCAAGGGCTTTGCACAGTAGATCTACACCCCAAAGGGAACTGACCTGCAAATTTTGAGAAAATCGGAGAGATGGACTTGCACACAATGACATACTTTGGTATTCTCAGACTTGCTCTCTTAATACTACTATTCCTAGCCTTAACGGCTAGCATTCCAGGGCAAAATGGGAAACATTTATGACCTTGTTCATTGGTTGACGGAAAGATGCAAACGAGAAAGGTCCGAAGAAAAATTGACTGTCACCACCAGGACTTGAAACAGGGACCTTCACTTGAGGTCAGCGATGCTCTAGCAACTGAGCTATGGTATAGCTGTCATCCCAGCAGAGCCCTGTTCAACATTTTCTTCAGACTTTTTTATTACCTTGTCTTTGTATTTTAAATAGTGAAAAAAGGGAAATCACTGTCTGGAGGCTAGTGTTTCAAATTAGACCTTACCTGCTATTTTGACAATCCTCCCACTGCTGGATGGCTTGACAGCAAGACTGCTGTTCTTTGGGCAGAAGGAAACCAGGCAATTTCTTGCCGCCACGTCCCTGCAGAGTATGGACAGTGAACATGGTCTGTGAGAAGTAGAACAGCTGACTGGTTGTTGGCGCTGGGCTCAACGGCAGGCATATAGCACCCGGTGCTGTCTCCCCCCCCCCCCCCCCAACACACTACACTACCAAAAAGCTTGCAAACGCACACGCATACACACACACACGCCTCTTTGTATATACTGCTGCTATTGCTAATATTATATATATCACTAGATGAATCACAACCTCCTGTTTTAGTCCCACCCACCACCTCAGAATATTCCTGCACCCCTTGCCTATAGCGCACACCTTCTGTCACATCTTCCTTCCACGCATACCAATACTCACTACCTTACTCTTTTTCGCACGCACACACACACACACACACACCTCTACCCACCACATACACCAACACCTATTGCTGATCCACACCCTACCTAGACTCTCTCCCACATTTATCAACCCGACACTTCCATTACGCCACTCCACCTTCTACGCACACCAACACCTTCTACCAACCTACACTTCTACCCGAAGGGTGTACCCCTTCCCACCTGTATCGACCCGCACCTAACCTTCACCATTAACTTAGATACATGTATTTCCCACCTTCACCTTCTCACCTCACCTCATCTCACCACCATCACTCCCTATTAACCCGTGCCACCACCCAAAGCCCTCCATTCTTTATCCACTGACGATGTTGTTCAGAACAACGAAACGTCTGGAGAAGTATCATTAAAAAAAAAAAAAATTCTATCGTTATTAAATGTTATCAAATATACCACTCTTTGGTCTAGAAAGAATACTTTTTGATATTACAATGAGAGTGAATAATCAACGGCTTGTCCACCAACTCTTTTTTATATCTCACAGCGTGGTTGAAAAGTCAATATTTCCTTTTATTTGGTGCATACACTACTGTCAGCCACCGACAAATGGAGCGTGAAGAATGGAGAGGCTAGCATTTCACTTAGGACAGTATACAGATTTACGCACGGTCAACTGAGCATAGACTGCTGTACATTTTTTTTTTTTTTTTTACTAGAGCCACGTAAACCCGTCATGTGTGAGGCATGAATAAGGGGAGTGGTGGCGTGGTCTGGGATGCTCTGCCGACCTTGGGTCTCGGCTTCATCACAACCAGGCGCGCCAATAGCAGAGAGAGAAAGAGAGAGGGAGAGAGAGAGAGAGAGAGAGAGAGAGAGAGAGAGAGAGAGAGAGAGAGAGAGAGAGAGAGAGAGAGAGAGAGAGAGATTGAATACACCAACGGCCTAGGCTACAGGGCTGACACTTGAAGCAGAGAGACCGTGTACGAGTGTTTAGGACCGAGAAAGGTAATCCGTACCTGTGCACGTATTTCTCCGTTTCCAGGTATCGGAGACCGGCTGTGATATCCAGTGCAATGTCTATGTACTCTGCATCATCCCAGGCTGGTCGCGCCTGAGAAACGGCAGGACAACAAGCAAGCACAGAACCAGAGACACTAACAGCAGCACAATTATCTCGTTTTAAAGAGTGTTTTTTATTTTTTTATTTTTTTTATTTACTTGAAAAAGCACATAACCACCAGGAAAGCTGACAAAGAAAAAAGAGTAAGAAAAGACGTGTAGGGAGGATTATGATAAACAGCTACCCTGGAGTTTTTTTTGTAGCCTGCACATATCGACAATACATTATTACTAGTATATCGGTGAAATCTAAGACAATGGGCTGCGTTAGGGGAAAGAGAAATGGCACAGACAGTGCACAGAACATTTTTTTCACACGCCTCGTGTAAAGGAATGTGTTGATACTGGAGGAAGTGTGGCCGCTAAACCCACGCACGACTATGGAGTAGAAAATCGGAATTTCGCTGCCCAAGCCTGCTCAGGTCAAGTGCCGTAAAGGGAAATTCCAGCAGGTGTCTGTACGTGTACATGTAAAAATAGCAGGGGTGTCACACACAGTACAATAAGTACGACAATGAAGGTACTAGTACCACTTATTGTCCAGGATGGTCCGCCCAATTCATCCAAAAAAGCAATAAAAGAGCGCTGAAACATGCCCTGTTGGCCAGAAATCCGTTTTTCTTAAGTTGGGAGGGGCAGGGGCACCCGCAGTGGTACCACCCCCCACCCCCCTTGCCCACTACCCACTGTCCTGTGACCACCTGAATAGGTTGGCTACTACAGTAAAACCTGTAACTAAAGACCACCGTGACTAGCGACCAGCCTGGTTCTACAGTAAAACCTGTAACTAAAGACCACCGTGGCTAGCGACCAGCCTGGTACTAAAGACCACTTAGCCAGGCACGAACAGTCTCACATTCATATAATGGTTGTGCGGTGCAAACCTCTAACTAAGGACCACCTGCCACTAAAGACCGCTTTCTCTGGCCCCAAGGGGTGGTCGTTAGTCACAGCTTTTACTGTACGTGCAAACTCACAGCACCAGGTTGGTTGGCTTGCAGGTACGACAGCAGATCTCCACCGTCCATCAGCTCAAGAATTATCATCTTTGGGTGCTCGTCCAGACACACACCAAGCAAGCGAATCACGTTAGGGTGACGGAAATTCCTACCGGACAAAACGACAAGCCAAAAAAAAGAGAATGTGTCTGATGTGCGCACTGTATGGTGTATGCATGATCAAATTAGTTCCGTTGCGTACTCCACTGGTGTTAAAAGCTCCCACTGCCAGATACAACTGTGTGTTTAGCCTGGAGAACCTGAAGTGATGTTTGTGCGGCTCCTAGTAAGTATTGCAGCTGCCTAAACAGGTAGAACACTTCACTTCACCAACTACAAAAATGGGTCTCTTCATAGAAAATAACTTCACGTTCCATCACAAGTTCGGGCCTGGACATTCGCCATAGCAAACAAAAGTAGTGGTGAAACGAATATCAGAACCCAGCAGCCGAATATTCTTTGGCTTAACGAACATTCTTTCGTTAACACGGATGACATCACATGCCCTCCTCTCGGTAAGTTTATTGGATATTCGCACGAAAAAGGGTTACAAGTTCACTGTACACCGCTTACTTGAGATGGGTTGCCTCCAGTAGAAAGTCATGTTCATCCTTAGGCGACGATCCTTGCTTGAGTACCTGGGCATGCAGAAATCAGAAATGATAATTACTGTAGAACGGGTGATTTTAGCGACGTAAAAACCCTACCGAATTTAGCGATCGACTCATTTTTGCTAAAGTTTCAAGTCACTAATCCGTTGAGACACAGTAGTGCACTGGTGATCCGTGAGTAAAATCGCTGAAAATCGCTTAAATAAAACGTCGCTAACCGGTTGACAATTGGAAAACGCTAAAATTAATAGTCGCTAAAATTGCCCGTTCTACAGTATTCAAGAGAAAGATCACACTCCGTATAACTGTTGTTTCTTGGACATATGAAACAGCTACCGGAAATTTTCAGGATTTATCGATCAATGCAAATGCTAACAACTGTCCTAAATACAAAATTCTTGTCAATGTACACATGGATAACTACTTATAATTATCATTTCCGCAGCTCTGGTGATATTCCCCTGAGATTATGATGACAACTGGCAAGAAAACTACACCTAAAACGTCACGTCACGACCCACATGCATATTGCAACCTCACGATCAACACATACTCTAATTTCAGAAATTTTCGGTGGTCAATATTTTCGGTGTAGGGGCAAAAGGCCAGGTTAGGTGAACAGAACATTTAGTCAAAGAGAAGCAGTTCCCTATTGGTTTATGTGTGTTAGTGTTTGTTCGGTGTATTGAAATTTTAGGTATGAAACAGATGCACCGAAAGTACCGATAATAAAAGTACACCGAAAATTTGTGAAATTACAGTATGTTGCAGCCTACTGCAGAGCAAATTCAGAAACGTCTCTGACAATAAACCAGTCTGTTTTCTGTTTTTGAAAAACACGAGAGCTTCTTGCGGCAAGTTACCCACATTACAGCAACACCGTGTACAGGTGTATTCGTCAACACTTCTCTAGCTTGCATGTAGACTGCAGTGTGGTTACCTTGACGGCGACTTGTGTGGCTGCTTCGCGCGGTATCAGATTGGTGACGGTAGCCTTGTAGACCTCACCAAACTGTCCACTTCCAAGTTGTCTATAAGACCATCAGGATCAAACAATGAACAATGAACTATGAACTTCGATATGAATTTCAACTCAAAATTTTGCCATTCAGAACCACCACCAGCAGACCAACTTATGATTCAATATCGTCTTTCGGCGCACAACATCATGAACGTTTTCCAAGGGAATAGCCAACACCACGTACAGTAAAACCTGTAACTAACGACCACCCCTTGGGGCCGGAGAAAGCGGTCTTTAGTGGCAGGTGGTCCTGAGTTAGAGGTTTGCACTGCGCAACCATAATATGAATGTGGGACCGTCCGTGCCTGGTGAAGTGGTCTGTAGTACCAGGCTGGTCGCTAGTCACGGTGGTCTCTAGTGACGGTGTAGTCACAGGTTTCACTGTACATGAATACTCTGTATTGTGTCCTCCCGCCCTACCCTCCCCGCCCCCCCCCCCCCCCTCCCCAGAAACAAGTATGATAACACAGACTTGCCAGGATAAAGATATCAAATTGAATGTGGTGCAATGCAGTGATGATAACTATGCTTTCTTGCAGCGGTATGCAGAGAATAAGTGTGCCCATCCCACAGCAACCAGCAGAAGATAACCCAATGCAGCTAACTTACAATTCCAGATTGATACAATTACGTCTCACAGCTGGCCAGTCACTTTTCAGAGCTCTAGAAAGGAAGGAAATTTCAGAAGAAACACCAAATATTGGCCAGAGGAGCTACCACGTCACAACTTTTGTTCCAAGTAATCGCCCAGAACCTGGTAGTGTCCCCGTCCCCCCACCGTGCATGAACACAAATCATGTACAGCCCTCCCCCCCCCCCCCCCCTCCGATACTCCATGAACAAAAATCACCAACAGCCTCTTCCCCCACCCACACACACACATCGGAGAATTTCGTTTCGGGATATATTGCTGTGTTGGGAAATCCCTGAAATGAAATCATCTTGATATTGTCCGCATAGAAGCGGTGGCACCATCATTGTGTTTTTATTGACATAAATGCACAACAACTTACTGGTAACCATCGTTGGTGATTGTCTGAACTGGCAGCTGATGGAGCTTCTCCAGCGTGCTGTTCTTGGCAACACAGCGTGGCCGCCACTTCTGGTATCTCCCTGTGCACGTTAGCAACACATGCATACACCCATAGAGACTCACAACAACCTCTCCACTCATGGTCTGTGTCAGAGCGGGTGCATTCTTTTGAGCTCGCCCACTTTCAGATCTGGTCCGAAATAATGCGGATACAGTTGTCTTTTCGGATGCATTCCCTTGAGCTCAAGCGCTATCAAATCTAGTTCTGAATGAATGGAGAGAGGATTTAAAAGCCTACTTTGAATGCAGACAGTCATTTAAGGTGGATTCTTTTGAGCTTTCAGATCAGATCGTGACTAAATGCGGACGGGCAGGGTGGATCATCCAATAACGTAGACCGCACCTGCATCTGGACACAAGTACCAACCAACTCCATGTAGCTGCTTACAACTCAAACCAGGAGCGCTGCTCCTGTACGCAGGAAAACGACTTACACATGCGTATGAAGATCAGCCCACCAACGCCCATCACCGCCAGCAGAATCACCATGACGACCGGCACGATTATCTCCATGGCAACTGACTGACCGTCGGCAACGGCGCTGACGGAGGTGTGTGGTATGCGGCCTGGAGAGCGCGAGGTAGCGGTGTTCTTTGATGACATGGTGTTTGCAAAGGCAGTATGGGGTGGTGTTGAGGTATTGCTAGGTGGAGAAGTGTGATCATTATCCTCCTTGGATGGATCTGCCAGTAAGATAAACAATATCAGGATGAAAAATGAAACTAGATTCCATACGAATTCATTCTTCACATAAACACATACGTAACAACACCGAAACATCATTTACATTGAAGCAAACAATCCGCGGACAGCTACTCGAAGTACATGTAGCTGTTTCGACCTCGTTACGTCTCATCAGCTGAGAACCGGTCACAATGAAGTCCCATGAACAGCAACGCATAGAATATGCCACACACTCTCCACTCACACATGCACGCATGCACACACAAATACGCAGATACACGCACGCACACACGACATCTGGACTGGCAACTTTACTGCCTCACGAACCCTTGAGATAGACTGGAATATCGACCAGCGAGTAAGTGATGATGGACGACTTCTGCAGTGGTCCAAAGTATTTGTCCACCACGTAGTACGATTGTATGCTTGCCTGTAAGGCAGAACATGTTAACAACATAATGAAAAATCTTTGTAGTCTACTTTCACAGCAATAACATACAGAAAGGTCTCTGCTGTTAGCACGGTGGCTCGGCAATGGCAACCCCAAAAATCGGTGTGATTTAGCATGAGCCCAAATGTTCAAGTTACCCACAAAGACACAAGCTTTCCAACTCTCTTTATCCATTGGAAAGCATACCATATCTACTTGTATGCAAGTTGATCCATTAGTTTAATGATAATAACAATTCAATTTCAGCTTGTCCTATTAATTGCGGTGATAATTGATAGGACCAGCTGAAATCAAATTGTTATTATCACTAAACTAATGGATCAACTTACATACAAATCCTGTTGGTTCAGGTATTGAAAATGGAAAGGTTGATAGGTCGATTCATTTACTCTTCGTTCTGAACGAGGACTGATTCAAAACGCTAATTTGCTACTGCAATTCATTCTACAAGATCACTTCGTTGATCATTCCTAACACATAATTCAGCACTTCGGAATATCACCAGCTATAGATAGAAGGATGATGACCCGACCTCGGGAAGGCTGACGGCGTCTTATTGTGATGCTCGTGCCACGTTTTACACAGTTTCATAAAATGCAAAGTGCAGATGAGACACTGCATCCATGGTTCCCCGCCATAGCACAACAGAACAATATCCTTACCGTAACGGAAACGTTGACGAGTTCCGTACCCAGCAGAGAGCTATCAGCTATTCGTCCCAGCAGCAGGTTGGTGGCGGGAATGTCAACTGAAAAACTCCTGTTCACCTATTGCAGCACACATGTCCGATTTGAACGAAGATATGAAAACATATGTTTTAGATGTGAAACGTGTTTTTTTCTCTCCCTCCCCCTTCTCCGTAGCTAGCAAATGCTAGCCATATTTTCTGTATTGGCTAAGAACCATCATGGTGTATAGCATAATAAGAAATGTTCACAAGTTATGCTACACTACAGTGCGCTTCAAAAATATAGACGCGTGATTTCAAAAATAAATAGACGCGTGATTTCAAAAATATAGACGCGTGATTTCAAAAAACGTTAGGCCAGCATCTATAGTATACCACATAAAATCTGTGATCACTTTGTGAATAAAAATTTGGAAATTGGGTGTTTGCTATCCGATCGCTTAAAAATCTATATGAGATTAATTGCAGGAAGGATCTGAGCAATATTCCGAAAAAATGTCTCGAATACCTCCAGCCAAATTT